GAGATCCCGAGAAATTCCAGCCTGGGAGCGGAGCAGAGCGGGGAGCAGGTGGTGCCCAGCAGAGCAGGTGTGGCTGCCACCCTGTGCCACCCTCTATGGCCTCCCCAAATCTGTGCCACCCTCTGTGGTCACCCCATGGCCACCCCAAATCTGTGCCACTCTCTGTGGTCACCCCATGACCACCATCTGTGCCACTCTCTGTGGTCACCCCATGACCATCCCAAATCTGTGCCACTCTCTGCCACTCTCTGTGGTCACCCCACCCTGTGCCACCCTTTGTGGTCACTCATGGCCACCCCACCCGGTGCCACCACCCCCATGGCAGATGACAACTCCAAATCCCCTAAAATTGAATCATGGCCGCACACTGCATCAGGAGTTTGGAGAAGGACACAAACATCTGCCACTTGTAACTGCTGGGARATGTGGTCTTGGTAAGAATGCACATTTTGGCCAAAGTTCCCTCCTTTTCCCACAGATCCATATTTTCATTCCCTCTGGAGTTCCCAGGCATCATTTCTCATTTGTTGACCTCCTGTTTTTCCAGGTTCAGGGATGGACACCATGAAAGGACCCCGGAACTGCAGATGGAGCTCTCCAGTGCCCGTGGCAGCTCCAGTTCCCCCTCCCAGCACTCTGGGGCTTCCCCGCTGCTGGAGCCAATGCCAGAATGTGCCAGCAGCGGTTCCTGCCCCCACTCACACCCAGACAATCCCTGGGCAAAGCCAGCCTCTGTCATACATCGGGCACAAAAGCAGAGGGCAGAGGTTTGGGCTGGGATCACAGCGGCCTTGAGCTGCTTGTCCTTGATTCCCRTTACCAACAAAGGGTTTTTTTCCATGGGAAAGGAACAGGAGTGGCTGCTGAGCACCACAGTGACCACAACTGCTCAGGGACAGCCACCATGGCCCCTGTTTGTCCAGCCCATGCCCTGCACTGTCCCTGAGCCCGAGGGACGGCTTCTCTGTCCTGCATATCCAAAGGCTGAGCCAGCAGCACACCCCAGGATACCCCAAATCCCCCAAACTGCAGGGATCAGCTCTGTGGGAGCAGCGCTGCCCCAAAACACAGCCCTGCCCCATGCTACAGCCTGCCCCAAAACACACCCCTGCCCCATGCTACAGCCTGCCCCAAACCACAAGGATCAACTCCATGGGAGCAATCCTGCCCCAAACCACAACAATGCCCCAAAACACTGCACTGCCCCAAAACACTGCACTGCCCCAAACCACAGGGATCAACTCCATGGGAGCAACCCTGCCCCAAACCATAACACTGCCCCAAAACACAGCCCTGCCCCAAACCACAGCACTGCCCCAAACCACAGCTCTGCCCCAAAACACAGCCCTGCCCCACACCACAGCCCTGCCCCACACCACAGCACTGCCCCAAACCACAGCCTTGCCCCAAAACACAGCCCTGCCCCAAAACACAGCCCTGCCCCAAAACACAGCCCTGTGGGGGCTGCAGGCACAGCCAGCCCCATCCCGAGCAGCCAGGGTTTCACCCCAGCCTTATCTCAGCAGAGATCAGCAAATCCCAGCCCAGAGCTCTGTGCTTTCCTGCGGCACCGCCAGGGTCACGGGGCCACCAACACAATGGCCCTGTGTGCCTTTGGGGTGGCCCTTGGCCCCAGACACTGCCTTCCCCTGGAGATCGGCACTGGGCCAGCCCTGCTGGGACATGGCCAGCACCAGAGCCCAGGGGCCAGCCCAAGGGACACAGGCCAGAGCCCTGGGGACAAAGGCCAGAGCCCAGGGGACACAGGGCCAGCACACAGAGCCCACAGGAGCTCTTGGGCAGCTCCCAGCAGCTCTCCAGTTTCAGTTCCCCAAGCACAGACTGGACATGCTCCCTCCAAACTGGGAACACCAAGGAAATCCTGCTCTACCCCAACATCCATAGGAATGGGTGTTTCTGCCCACAGGAGAACAATGCTTCTTTCCAGATGCAGACAGGGCAAAAAAAAAAAAGGGAATTCTGAGTGCAGAGCAAAGGATAGGAGCAGCTCTGCAGAGTGCTGTGAGCACGGCCTGAGAGCAGGAATTGATTTGGGAAGGGGCTGCCCTGGCTGGAGGCGATGCCCTGGTGTGGAGATATCCAGGTTTTTCCTGTCCCTGGTTATTCCTGCACACCTGGGATGGGCCTTGTGAGCATCGGGAGCAGCGCAGCTCCTGCCCCACAGCAGCAGGAGGATGGGAGAGCACCGAGGTTCTCCAGGTCAGCCGAGGCTTCTCCTGATGATCAGCTCTCCTTCCTTCCCAGGAGGAATGTGATCTCCTCTGCTTTGATCCAACCCACCCCAAACCCAGAGCCCAAGGACTCCCAGCAGAGCAGTCCAAGCTCAGATCCAGAGCAGCATGGACCATCCTCCTCCTCCTCAGCCCCCACCATCCCTTCCCCCGGGTGGGTTTTGCTGGCAGAGCAGAGATCCTCCCGCTGCACCCTCTGCTCAAAATTCCAGGCATTTTCCCCGGAGCAGAGGATGCAAGGACAGCTCTTCACCAATGAATGGGCTGTGGGGAACACAAACCTCCTGCCCAAGGTCCCTGGAGCTCTTGGAGAGCTGGGCTGTGCACCCTGAGCTCCCAGCAGCCCTCTGCTCTGCCCCTGAAGGTGCTGATCTCATGGTGCCACACCGCAGGGAGCAGAGCGACAATAGAGACAGCAAAGCAAAGAGCATTTCCAGCCTCAGGAAAAGTGCCCGGGGCACTTAGAAACCCAGTGCCTGCAGCCCTGCCCAGGCCAGCTCCACAGAGTTTAAAATGAAGCTTAATCACAGCAGTRGCTGCCTGTCAGGAGCTGGGAACTCCTGGTGAGCCTGGCTGGGCTGTYCGGGGAGTTTTGGAATCATCCCATGGAGTTTTGCATCCAGCTCTGCAGCGCTTGAGGCTCTTCTGTCTCCTCACAGACCCCATCGTGCTCCAGGGGATCAGCTGGGAAAATGGCTGGAGAGCTGGGTGGGCTCAAATGCGGGGGCACAGCAGGGACTGGGATCAGGTGGGGAACGGGAGAGGGGCTCTGTGAGCAGGCACACGGAGCAGGAGAAGGGATGTCCCTGCATGGCTGGGATGGTCCTTGGGCTCTGTCCTGCAGAAYCATCCCAGGGGGCTGAGGGATGGACCACGGGGAGCCCAGGTGTCCTGGTCAGTGCCATGGGACAGAGCGATGATCCCATTGGCATGGACAGCTGCCCACAGAGCCAC